TTTCCTTAGTCCAGGAGGATAAAAAAGAATTGCTGTCGCAGATGCAGGGGAGATTAAAATATCCAGGGCTCAGAGTTTGGACTCTGTGAGAACTGATCTCGAAATCGTGGAGCTTTATTTCTGCCACTCAGTTCTGAGGTTTAATTCACAAACTGAAGACCCTGCACAGAAAAGTGAGATGGGTCCAGCGAAGGGAAAAAATGATCACACTTCCTTGTGTGAATTCAGTCATAATTTGAGGAGAATTTCCTATTAGGATGGCTTATTAAATTAAGTAAGTGAACAGGAGACTACAAGCCCTTACTCCAAGACAGCACAATTTTGCACAAGCACAAATAAATTGTAACTGGGTTTCGAACTGATTTGATTCTTCAAGTTGTGCATTTCAGAGCACCAGACCCACACAGAAACGTTTGGGAACTGTGGGTTATGCAGCACCCCCAGGCAAAATGCACCTGCAGGTCTGAACACGCCCAGAACAGCTCTGGGTAAAAACACCCTCACAACAAGGAAGAAACTGAAACCTCTGCCCATAAAAGATTTTGTGAGCAGAGGCCTCTACCAGTTTAACACCAACACTCTTGTGCTGCCTCCTCGAGGCTCAGCACAAGGGTCTGGCACTGAGTCACTCGCTCAAAGCTCTGGATAAGGAGCATCAGGAGGGAGAAATGAAATCAGGCAGTTTAGAATAAAACAGAAGCAGAGAAAAGACAAGAGACGTGAGACAGCTTCAAAAAAACACCTTTCAAAGGACTCTGAAGGACTCCCTACAGAAGATTAAGAACAGTCATCAGGAGGAGCTGCATAATTTCCCAGCACGTTTACTGGACAAACTGCACAAGTTGTTCTGCTTCCCAGAGCCAGTTCTGAGGAGAAAACTCTTCCCTCTTCAGGGAATGTTACAGAGAGCTCACATTTCTGCTGTGCCCGTGTCCTCCAGAGCCCCACCAGCCCTGCCCACACCACGGCACGAGGGGAGGCCTCGCAGCAGAGCTGGGCATGGCGAGATGGGCATCAGTGGAAAGGGCTTTTCCAGCAAGAGCTGGGCTGGGTTTGGTGAACACAGGAAGGAACAAACAGAAGAATGGAAATAAAGGAGAAGGAAAAGCTCTTGTTCCCATAAATAATAACTAGGGCAAAACTGCCTTGACTTCTCCATCCCTTCTCACACTACACTGAAGAGACAGGGGATGAGCTCACGTGGCTCCAAAGAATCCAGGAGCCAGATACAGCCATGTGAGGAGAGGGATGTTCCGATCATCAATGGATCGATCTGTCTGCACTAGGGAATGCATGGATCGATCTATCTGCACCAGGGAATGCATGGATTGATCTATCTCCACCAGGGAATGCATGGATTGATCTATCTGCACTAGGGAATGCATGGATTGATCTGACTGCTCTAGGGAATGCATGGATTGATCTATCTGCACTAGGGAATGCATGGATTGATCTATCTGCACTGGGGAATGCATGGATTGATCTATCTGCACTAGGGAATGCATGGATTGATCTATCTGCACTGGGGAATGCATGGATCGATCTATCTGCTCTAGGGAATGCATGGATCGATCTATCTGCTCTAGGGAATGCATGGATTGATCTATCTCCACCAGGGAATGCATGGATTGATCTATCTGCNTTTCCTTAGTCCAGGAGGATAAAAAAGAATTGCTGTCGCAGATGCAGGGGAGATTAAAATATCCAGGGCTCAGAGTTTGGACTCTGTGAGAACTGATCTCGAAATCGTGGAGCTTTATTTCTGCCACTCAGTTCTGAGGTTTAATTCACAAACTGAAGACCCTGCACAGAAAAGTGAGATGGGTCCAGCTAAGAGAAAAAATGATCACACTTCCTTGTGTGAATTCAGTCATAATTTGAGGAGAATTTCCTATTAGGATGGCTTATTAAATTAAGTAAGTGAACAGGAGACTACAAGCCCTTACTCCAAGACAGCACAATTTTGCACAAGCACAAATAAATTGTAACTGGGTTTCAAACTGATTTTGATTCTTCGAGTTGTGCATTTCAGAGCACCAGACCCACACAGAAACGTTTGGGAACTGTGGGTTATGCAGCACCCCCAGGCAAAATGCACCTGCAGGTCTGAACACGCCCAGAACAGCTCTGGGTAAAAACACCCTCACAACAAGGAAGAAACTGAAACCTCTGCCCATAAAAGATTTTGTGAGCAGAGGCCTCGACCAGTTTAACACCAACACTCTTGTGCTGCCTCCTCGAGGCTCACCACAAGGGTCTGGCACTGAGTCACTCGCTCAAAGCTCTGGATAAGGAGCATCAGGAGGGAGAAATGAAATCAGGCAGTTTAGAATAAAACAGAAGCAGAGAAAAGACAAGAGACGTGAGACAGCTTCAAAAAAACACCTTTCAAAGGACTCTGAAGGACTCCCTACAGAAGATTAAGAACAGTCATCAGGAGGAGCTGCATAATTTCCCAGCACGTTTACTGGACAAAATGCACAAGCTGTTGTGCTTCCCAGAGCCAGTTCTGAGGAGAAAACTCTTCCCTCTTCAGGGAATGTTACAGAGAGCTCACATTTCTGCTGTGCCCGTGTCCTCCAGAGCCCCACCAGCCCTGCCCACACCACGGCACGAGGGGAGGCCTCGCAGCAGAGCTGGGCATGGCGAGGTGGGCATCAGTGGAAAGGGCTTTTCCAGCAAGAGCTGGGCTGGGTTTGGTGAACACAGGAAGGAACAAATAGAAGAATGGAAATAAAGGAGAAGGAAAAGCTCTTGTTCCCATAAATAATAACTAGGGCAAAACTGCCCTGACTACTCCATTCCTTCTCACACTACACTGAAGAGACAGGGGATGAGCTCACGTGGCTCCAAAGAATCCAGGAGCCAGATACAGCCATGTGAGGAGAGGGATGTTCTGATCATCAATGGATCGATCTGTCTGCACTAGGGAATGCATGGATCGATCTATCTGCACCAGGGAATGCATGGATTGATCTATCTCCACCAGGGAATGCATGGATTGATCTATCTGCACTGGGGAATGCATGGATTGATCTATCTGCACCAGGGAATGCATGGATTGATCTATCTGCACTGGGGAATGCATGGATCGATCTATCTGCACTAGGGACTCCATGGATTGATCTATCTGCTCTAGGGAATGCATGGATTGATCCATCTGCTCTAGGGAATGCATAGGTTAATCCATCTGCTCTAGGGAATGCAGACACAATGACATCCTGCTCACCTGCAACCACAGCACTTTGAGAACAGCAGGGCCATCACATAAATAACACCAATTTGGGAACAAACACTGTGCACTCCAGCTAAACTTGGAGCAGCAAAGCAGGGATTCAGCTGGTAGGGAATGCTGAGAGGGGAGAGCCATAAGCCAGGAAAGCCGACTCCAGAGGAGGGAAACAGATGATCACAAACATGATCCTTAAAATAAAGGCAGAACAATCTGTGAGAGTGTTTGGGTTAGAGCAGAGAGGAGAGCCAGAAATAAAAAGCCAGATGGAAAGCAATTAGGAATAGGGGGGGAACTGAAAATGTATTTCTGATCTGTGGGCACAGACTGGATTGCAAATATTTACTGGCACTGAAGCTGCTCAAAAGGGGGAAAAAAAAAACAGTGCAAAGAATTTCTACACCCTGTCACATCATGAAAAGATTTAACCTTCAAGCACAGCTCTGAGGAGCACTCACAAACCTGACTGGCAAATACAGGCCTTTCAATTCTATTTTGAATTCCTCCTGGCCACTGCCCTGCTATATTTTAATTTAAAATACCTATGTCAAATTAGATTCCAGCTCATCCATCACAAAGAATAAGATTGAGCAAGTGGAACTTAATTTTATTAGTGTTTCATAAGCCAAGAACAACAACAAAAAGAAAAAAAAAAGGGGAGTAAACACAAGCTCATGACACTCCAGCTGCATCTAAACCACCATGTTGATAGGATTAAAACAGGGGAGGGTTTAGTGGTGGACTTGGCAGTGTTTGGTTTCCTGTTGGACTCGATGATCTTAAGGGGTTTTTTTCCAACCTAAATGGTTCTGTGATTTCATTTGTGCAGGAGGAAGGCAGGACTGACTATGCAACTGAAACACGAGTAAGATGAACCATCTTTATCATGAAGAAGTAGAGGCTGGAACTTTAACAGCAGGTAAAAAATCAGGTTTTGGTAGAGAAAAATCTCTTGTCAAGGCTCTGTGTGTTGTTTATACAGACACACAAATCCTCTTTCAGAATTTTAGGTAAATGCACTAAATTGTGAAGAATAAGGTCAAAGGGGAAAGCAAAGAGGGGAGAACAACTCAAGGCAGTCTGGGAACAAAGTTCTACCCTCAGCTCATGTTCTCCTCATCTTTTCTTGCCTCAAGACTGAAGAAACTCATTCAGACTGTAATTATGTACTTTCTATTATGAGTTTGCACGAGCAGTGAATCCTTTGAGCTCCTCCTGCCACAGAAATTTGAACAAACAAGGATTTCAAAAGCAGGAGAATTTAACGTGGCAAATAGCAAGCCCAGTTAGAAACAACTTTCCATACAGAGAAGCTGATCCAAGGCTGGAAAAAGACACCACCAGAAGGCCCTTAAAGGCACTAATTACCTTCACCTGCCGGGATGTGAGTTCCAAATGCTGTCTCCTATGATAGAAAAGTCCTTTTTTTTTTGCTTCATACACCTGATATAAACACGTGTTTCTCAAAGGAACCTGCTGTGTGCCATTTGCAGAGTGAGGGTCAGGAAATTCTGCTGTCACCTCGGGTAGTAGCAACTTACCAACCTCCACATGGACTCCTGAGGGCCCACCATTGGTCACCCCGTTCAGCAGCTCCGTGTCCTCCAGTTCCAGCTGAACCGGGGGCTGGAATTTCAGCTCCTCCTCCACCTTCTCCCAGCTGGCCTTGGCTCGAGAGCCACGGGTACTGTTGAACTGGGATTTCACCTTCTGAATGGTGTTATCTGCAACAAGCACAGAGAGCCGCTTCAGTCAGCTCTGCAGAGGTGAACTGCTTAATTATTAACCCTTAATACTACTGAACCTGAATTAGGGAAATTCTTAATCGTACCATGGCGGTCTTTTTTGAAATTGTTTTTAATTTCTTCGTTTCTTATCAGTTTCAGGCATAAAATTCCACTGCTGGTTAGGGGGAAAAAAGTAATTCTTCAATCCCTCTCCTTCCTCTCTCACCCTTTCAATTCACCGCCATTTGCCAGCAAATCCCTTCCCACAATCCTGGCTGCAGGTTTGACAGGAGCTGTGCTGAGCCTAAGCAGGGAATTTCTCCAAGCACTCACCGTGGGTGGGGCTATTTCCTAATTAATTGTGGAAAGATAGGGGCGAATTCAAGCTATTTCAAATGCTCAGGGGAACAAAATGCAGAAACATTTATCCTGTGAGTAAAATCCACACCAAATATTGCACAGGTTGCCCACAGCTACTGCTGGATATGATATAAATGTAATACTTATAAATGTAATACTTATAAATGTAATTCTATATTATTTATATATTATATTTTACATGTATTATTATATATTATTTATATTTATGTATTTCTATTATATTAATGTATTTATTTTTATTATTTATATATGGTTTAAATATTCTATATAAATATATAATATTTATGTAGTATTTTTATCTATGTATTTATTAATTAACTACATATTCCTTCTATTCTAAAACACAGCTTAAGCTCTAGTTATGTTTTGTTGGAATACACAGTGCCATGAGCATTCTTTAGGGAAAAATCCTGCATTTTACCAAGTCAGCCTGCTGAGAAGGCAAGAATATCTACATTATTCTATATGTGTAATATAGAATAATTATAAGTAATATTAATAATTAAAATAATAATGATAATAATGATGATGGTGATGGTGATAATAATAATAATAATATCTGCAACTATCAGACCAAAGGCTGAGATCTCAGGCACCAAGTGCTTCTTAGATCCAAACACAGGGAAGAAGATGATTAAATAAATAAATCAGTAACCACACAGCAATATTAGGTAAACTCAGTAACGAAGTATAGTACTAAAAATGAAAAAAAAAAAGGTTTTTTTCTTTAAAAAAAAGACCCTCATGCAATTAAAAGAGGGTAGAAATTCCCCAATTCCTACTCCAGTTAAAAAAAAAAGGAATAACGTGGATCTCAACCTAAAATTACATCACGGCTGTAACTTGCCCTGCAAGGAATCCACCCAAAATCCAAGAAGGCAACTGTTTAATAAGCTCTCCTCATGGATTTCTCAATCTTTTAAGCATGAGCTTAAAAAAAAAAGAAAATTGCTGCAATCTGGACACAGAAGGGTGCAAACCCCCTGCAGGATTTTATCCTCTCCCAGAGCAGCTCCTCACTGCAAGGGAACTGTGTGTGAGGTTCAGCAGAGCAGCCCCTACTTGGCAAGAAAACAATTTATAGCAGGTTAAAAAAGAAACTCCGGAGAGTTATGAGCTTCGAAGTCAGGCCAGAAATAAAGCTGCCCACAATAATCTGTTCTGTCTCCCAGTAATCTGCTCTGTTTCCCTTTTTTTCCCCCCCTGTTCTCATCTGTCTCCCCTCCTCAGATTTTTTAATTATGTTAGGAAGTGTCTGAGATATCAATTTCTTGTTCTTCTGTGCTCGTTCATTAATCACCCCAGGACTGTGTCCATAACAGATGAACTCTCTGCCACTTCACACCCAATAATCCAGCAGTTTAGGGCATCAAGATCTTCCCCCCTCCTTGCAATCACAAGCTAAAACTCATTTCTTAAATGAGTTCATTTCTTCATTTCTTCCTTCCTAATTTCTTGGATAAATTTCTTCTCCTAAACTCAGTCATTCCAAGGCACCGGGAAGAAGAAGCAGAATTCCATGATGATCCAACTGCTAACAGTGACAAGCACTGTCACTTGCTACAGCAAATGAAAATAAGCAAAATACATCTAAAAATATCAATATCACGTAAATATGTGTGTGCATAAATATAAAGCAACCGTGTGCTGATACATCATAAAATAAATACTACATTTATATATATTTGTGTAGGCCATTCCTATAAATATATAAAATATGAAGTATAACGTATAAGTGTATCATATATACTTATAGAGAAGTCTTTAAATATACATATTCACACTAAACTGAGCAGGAGCTTTGTGGCTCTGGTGCCGAGAAACAAGATTTCCAAACACACCCCGAGGCAAAGGCACGCCCAGGTTCACTTTCACAACCAGCCTCTTGGCCAGGGGACATCATTTAACATCGTAAAAGTAGCAAGGCAGGGAATTTTCACTGTTAGAGAGCGAGGTTACAAACCAAACTCAATGAAGGCGTAGGGCCTGGAAGCCAAATTGATGGTGGTTGTGTCGTAGGAAGCAGTGAATTCCCAGAGAAGATCCTCCAGGAAGCAGAAGGCCATGATGGTGGAGTAGCTGCTGGAACAGATTGCCAGGCAGGCAACATCCCCAGAGGAGAGGAAGCTGGAATAGAGGGGGGGAAAGAAAAACAGTAATCAATATAAAAAGGTAAAAGTCATGCAGAACAGGAGGATTAAACTGTGCTTTCTGTCAGCACAGAGTGTGCAGATCGAGCTGAAGGAGCAGACTGCAAAAAAATGTGTATTTTTTTGGTTGTTGTTGTCATAGCCCTGCAGCCCCTGGAGATTTCTTTATTCTTAGACAATTATTTATTCCTAACTCGCCCAGGACACCTGAGCACACCGAATATCACGACACAGACTTCATTAAATTGGTTCATCAGCCCAAATCCAGGACATTTTCTCCCAGGCTGGCTTTAAATCACGTCAATAAGGAACAAGGTGGCCAGAAAACCAACTCTGAAAGAACCAGCACAAGAAAAATTCTACTCCAGAAGGGGCTCCTCTAACACTGAAGCCATATTTATGTTGAAGTTGCCCAAATATATGTTGAAGTTTCCCATATTTATGTCGAAGTTTCTCATAATTGTGTCAAAGATTCCCATATTTATGTGAAGTTTTCCATATTCATGTCAGAGTTTCTCATATTTATATCAGTTTCCCATATTTATGTCAAAGATTCCCACATTTGTGTTGAAGATTCCCACATTTATGTCAAAGATCCCCACATTTGTGTCAAAGTTTCCATACTTCTGTCAAAGATTCCCACATTTGTGTTGAAGTTTCCATATTTATGTTGAAGATTCTCATATTTATGTTGAACTTCCCACTCAGACCTGGGCCCAATCCCTTCCAGGAACCCTATCAGGGAGATCTCTCACAGCTCAGCCCTTTTTTAGCAGGAGTTCAGTCACACACCTCAGGTTTGAAGCTGAAATATTTCTCTCTCTGGATTTTCCCACTCCTATTATCCATATATTTCATCCCATTTCTTTCCCGTGCTTTCTATTTTATTTTTCAGTTTTATTTAATAGGATGCCACGTTAAAGAAGCAGAAATCCAGGATGCTCCGAGTGGTAACAGCAACAAGCACTGCCCACTGAGCAGAAAGCTCTGCTACAACAAATTAAAATGAGCAAAATACATGTAAAAGTATAAATGTGTGTAAATCTGATGTAAATATGTGTGTGTGAATATGTATGTGTGAGTGCATGTGTAAATATGTATGTGTATAAATATGTGGCTGTGTTAATATATCATAAAATAAATATTTTATATATATATAAACCACTTATATAATGTATAACATAAACTTCTATGTATATGTTAATTATACATAAAATATACAAAATTTTAAATTAAACATATTTATAAGAATACATAAAATTTCTGTAAGATAATATATCTGCATACATAACATTTATATATTAATATATGTATGAAAAATAAATAGACGTTTGCATGAAATATATAAAATATGCATTTACATATAAAATATATAGAATTTAAAAATAATATAAATCTATTTCCAATATATGTTTTATAAAATAATATAAAATATATCTGTATACATAGCATTTACATATAAATATATGTATGAAAATATATAAATATATGTTATTTGTATAAAATATATAAAATATATAAAATATACATTTTCATATTAAATATATAAAATTTTAAAATAATATGAATATATTGATAAGAATATATAATTTTAAAAATAATATAAATATATATGTATACATAACATTTACATATTAATATGTGTATAGATATATATAAATATATAAATAGATATTTGTATAAATATATAAAGCATACATTTACATATTACATATGTAAAAAATTAAAATAATATAAATATATTTTTAAGAATATATAGATTTTTATAAAATACTATTATTATGTTTGTATACGTAACATTTGCATATTAATATAAGCATATGTATGAAAATATATAAGTAGATATTCATATAAAATATATAAAATATACATTTAGTGGCCATATGCTCACTAAATTCAGCAGGAGCTGACAAATAAGGTTCCAAAATACCTGGAGTTGACCACCTAGACATGCACAGTGGGATTTCAGATTGGAATCTACAAACTATACCCAAAATTTTACTCATTCCCAAGATAATTATTTCAAAAATAAACCACCTCCCCCCCCCCAAAAAAAAAAAACAACTCAAGCAGGGACTTACTGGATGCTCAGGTTCCGTCCCTTCGCTGTGCCTCGGCTTGGGTACCGTGCCAGGCCTGAGGATAAAGCCTTTAATCTCCTCCTGCATTCCAGAAAGTCCTGGTTGAAATGGAAATCCGTGGAGGCCGACAGGGGAAGCCCATCCCTCACCCTCACCACGCAGGCAAAGAAGATCAGGGACATCCTCCACGGGAGTATTCATGAGGACAACCTGCAAATGGGACGTTCAGGGAGGTGAAGATTATTTCCAAGCCCAAAATTCCAGCCGTGAATATGTCAGGGAAAGGGCTTTGTTCAGCCACTGCTCGTGGCTGTGTCCGTTTTTTGCCTCTCTCAGACTAAAAAAGGTGAGGCAGGGGATTTGGCAGGGGAATTATCTACCTGGAAAACATCCCCTGTTTTCCCTGCTTTATTTAGGCATCAGAAACGCTGAGTAAAGTTCTTTTTTTTCGCACCTCTGGGCTTGCAAACAGCTGCAGGAGCGTTGCAGTTCCCTGATTTTCTACTGCAACCCCCAAATCCAGAAATAAATTTTAGGCTACGGCCTGCCAGGCTCTTTTTAGACTCACCTAGGGCTAAATATAGAATCAAAGCTGCCCTCTCTCTTTGTCTTCTTGCTCTTGAACAGGTCACAAACTCCCATGGAAAGTTATTAATGGGATTTACCTGACACATTCAGAACATGCAGAGATCTGTCCTTCAGGCATACCATGAGGATCCAGAGGACTAACACAGCAGCTCACATAACGTCTGAAAGAGAACCACAATGAACGTTAAAAAAAACCTGATTAATGACCTATATTTACATGCATATTTACTCCAAGAACTCCCCTGCAGTGGGTAAATATATCCTAGAAAGCATCTTGCCTAAGGGAAAAACAAACAACTCGTTTTCTAATTAATTAATATATTAATTTCTGCACCGTGAAATGACGTGCAAAATGTTTATGAGGTCCCAATCATAATTTTTTTTAAAATTTAGCCCAGTAAAAGAGCAGCTCTAAATCAGTAGATTTTAAGGGATTATCAGAAACAAGTCAAGGAAGGAAAAGGGGGGAAAAAAAAAAAAGAAAGAGACAACTAAAGGCATTGACTTGGCTTCAGGCAAACCACATAAATAAAGCATTAGGGAAATAAAGAAATAAAACCACGCTGTGAACTCAAACCTTAGATAGAAATGGCTGTTTCAACCAGCCCTGTATCACACAGTTCATTAGGATGCTCAAAGTCCCTTTGAAATGAGTCTCATCAGGACGTGTTTTCCTCAACTAAAAAACCCAGGGAGCAAAACCCCTTCTGGTTCAGCCATCAGAAACTCTTCGAGCTGCTCTGATTTCTAGCAAAGGTTGAGTTCCTACCACCAGCAGCACTAAAAGGGTCTCATTTCTGCTCTCCATGGGAATCATTTCCACACAACTTGTGGCAACAATCCCTCTGTCCGAGGTGGCAGCAATTTGCCAGCAGGTTAAAGCAACTACAGCTTGTCAGAACACGTGACTTGTTCCCTCAGAAAAGCAAATTAAAACCACACAAGATCTCAGACATCTCTTGAGGGGCGTTGTTTTGAATTTTTGAAAATGGAAATTAAAGAATTGGATGTGTTTTTTTTTTGTCTGCTATCCCCTCTCACAGTTCTTCTCCAGCTGGGTAAAGTCAAAGCAAGCTCACAAACCTCATGTCGACACCCAGCAAAAAGAATTTCAGCGACAATCAAGATTTCTGTAAGTCAGCTTGAAACATCACATTGCTCTTCAATGTAATGTGGTAGCAGCCATGAAAGAAACAGTGCAAAAATTAACATAAAAGTGAAATAAAACCAAAAAAAAAACACCTGCTAACTCAGAAATATTAACTTTAACAGAGCCAACTTTTAAGCACAGTTGCTCAGAGCAGCACAGTTTATTGGTGAAAAGCTGGCAACACTGATGAAGTTTAACTCCAAAATAACTCCAAAAGAGGCAAAAGATGGCCAGGAAAACAAACAAAAAAAAAAGTACCAAGCTTAGAAAAATCAAATACATTTTCTAAAACCTATCCAGCCTATAAAATTATTCAGCTCCCTGTGCCACCAAGAGTTTAAAATTAAATATATATATATATATATATATATATTCATCACTAAGGACAGCACCACCTGCACATATAGAGTGGTACAGCTCCCCCAGCCACACAAACCTTCCTGCTGCAGGGCACAAGGCTGTCCCATCAGCTGCCCATCAGAGGGATCCTCTGACCTCCTGGGAAAGATCTGCTGTGGGTGCCCGCCAGGCAAATTCCAAATTAGCTGCCAGACCTCACTGCAGAAACGAATCCACGCTCCCTCCTCAGACCGAGGAGGGCTCTGGGTTTTCCTTTTGCTCTGTCACAAGCCTCTTGCTACTCGCACAGAGTTTGTGGCAGTCACTGACGTCCCCTCCCTGGGAGTTTTAACTACTTGCAAGCCACTTTTGCCACGTCACCCTCCCCCTGTGACAAACTGTCACGACTCACTGACTGGATGCTGTTCCTATTCCACATCTAGTGCCCTTTCCCCCTCCAGGCTCCCTCTGTTTGCTCAGGATCGGGAGCCCAAAGATCTGCAACCACCTGTACGTGGCAGGTCTTCGACCTTGGCTCCTGAACTTGGGCAAAGTACTCGTGCCTGCGGGCTGAGCAGATAATCAAATTACCCACAATTAATAACATCACACCAAGGTCAGACCACCCATTCTACTGGCACAAAGCAGCCAGAAAGAACACTGAGATGTGTTTTAAGCAGTTGCTTCAGGAGAACAAGTTGTAATTTCTGACTGAAGCAAAGAAAGTTGGGGTTTTTTTTCCACTGTTTAAAGCATCTGTACATCCAACAACACTTTAAAATAAAACTGTTCAGTGCAGGGGCTCAAACAGGAAGTATTTTACCACTAGCAGAACAAACAATTCTTCAGTGCATTTCCACAGTAAGTTACCTGAAGCACAATTTCCTCCTTCCCTCACTTCCTAAGCAGCAGACAACTCTCTCCAGTGTCTGCCTGGGGATTATCAAGGCAGCCTTAATCAGACCCCTTGCTCTCCACTACAGTGTTACACAACTCAGGGTAAGGAGATTACGCCCAACTCACCAGGGCCACACTTCCCCACACGCTCCACAAACTCCTGCTTGATTGCCTGTACTTAGGAAACAATCTACTCAAAAGGCTCTGAGAGCAAATGCAAACCAGGGGAATGATGTTAAAAAACACAGCCCTTCCAGAAATTATTCTATCTATCTCACCACCAAAAGCAGAAAGTTTCCTTCCAACACAAATAAGACATGTCTTGTTACCAGGATTTCTCTCAAGTATTTGACTTCCCTCCCTGTTCAGATCCACAATTCCCTTCTCTCTGCATCCAACCTTCAAACACAACACCACCCAGCCATTTTTTCCAGTCCTGACCTTCCTGCTGAAGGAAGAGCAGAAAGCTTTAGTGGATGTTTCTATGGTCCTGAAGCAGCCTGTGAAGTTTTCTGGACATGTGACAGCTTCATGATGGTAACTGCTGCACTAAAGCATCTTTCTTCAGGCAGGCAATCTCCAGAGGGAGTCATGGACAGCCACAGGTAGGATGCTGGAGTATGAGAGGGATTCAGGCTGACTCAATCAAACACAAAACATTCAACAGAGCTGCAGCTCAAGGGTTGGTTTCAGTCCAAAGAAAAGAAAACAACTGGGAAGGGATGTGGATCATGAAGGAGAGTTACTCCATCTCTGTGGGATCACAAGGTGGATTTTACCCTCTTCTCACACGTATAAACCAGCAAATCCAAACCACTGTTGAATCCTCATCTTCTAAGATTGCAGGGGCTGTATCCACCTGCTCAATCCCAACTTCTCCCCATCCATGCCCCCCAGCAGTGCTGACCAGCTACATCACAGACCTAAAGCAACAAGAGCCACTCTCCAGACCGAGCAGCGAATTAAAGCCGTTTGAAAGCACGATGTTATCTCAAATTTTAAAACGGGATTTGTGCATATCCAGAGCTTACAGGCTCCTATAAATCCCACAGGCTTTATCCTTATCCCCAAAGGGAAGCCTGTAGAAAACCTTTACCATCCCAAATCTCCTGTCTACACAAACTCCTGTGAATTATCAGGAATGAAGCGTGTTGTGCCAAGCTCAAACCCCAGCGTTCCATCAATCCCACTGTCCCAGTGGACAGGCCTCCAAACCACACCACAACAACTCTGTGAGGCTCTGAAGCTTTGCCTCACCTTGATCTGTCAGGAACACCTATTCCCAAACTTATTCCCCAAAACACACCCACCCCCACCCAGCTGAAGCTTCCCAAAGCTCACCAGCTCATCCCTGTACCCTCACCAGTCCATAAAACTAAGGACCCTTCCCACATCCATCACACATAATTACACTCTATTCATGCCTCTTCTTCCCCCACGTTAAGCATCCTAAAATTCCCAAAAGAATCCCTTTCCCGCACTCTTTCATAAAAAAGCAAACACTCACATACGCCCCCTCAACCAGGACTGACAAGTCCCCCCATACACCCCTCGAGCATCCCAGACATCCCCAAATCCCACTCCCATCCCACAGGTCCCAAACCCTCACGTTATCCCAGCTCACCTCAAGCGACCCCCAGCCCAACCCAAACCCCGCGGAGAGCCCCAAATCCTCCTCCTCCTCCAGCCCTCAAGCACCCCAAGGAACCCCCAGATCCAACACATCCACACCGAAGGATCCCAACGCCAACACACACATCCCCCTGCTCACCCCCGCCCCATCCCTACATCCCCTGACTCCCCTCATCGCCTTCCAGACCCCTCCAAGCGCCCCAAACCTCCCTTCCCTGCTGGAGGACGCCCCAAAAAAACCCCTTTCCATCACCCCAGTTCGCTCCCCCCCCCAACACCCTCCCAGCCCCGCGCACGGCCCGGATCGCCCCGGCCCCGCGGGGACGGAGGGGGAAGAGGAGGAGGAGGAGGAGGAGGAGGAGGAGGGTCGGTGTTCCCTGGACCCTCCGCACTCACCGTCCCCGCCCGGCCCGCGGCCTCTCGGGCCTCCGGGTCCGCCACAGCCCCGGCCCCGCCCGCGGCCGCCATGGAGAGAGCGCGGGGACAGCCGGGACGGGAGGAGGGACCGGCATGGGAGAGCGGGGGATGGAGGATGGGGTGTGGGGAGGGAGAGGGGAATGGGGAATGGGGTGCGGGAATGGGGTGCGGGGATGGAGATGGAGGTCGGGATGGGATGTGGA